AAAAAACACGCACACAAAACCTCCATATTTACAATCCTATGCCCACAGTTAATCCAGAGGAAAGAAAAAAAACTCAATAAAGCATGATCCAAGTTGCTCCAGCAGGGGAAAAATATCCTTCCTGATCCACCAAAAGGCAATCTGATATTCCCTGGATCAACTTTACCTATAAACAATTAGTTTCCAGTTATACTATGTGCATTTAGGAAATAATCCAGACCTTTTTTAAAAACAATCTACTGAGCTTGCCAGAACCAACTCTTGAAGGAGTCTATGCCACGTTTTCACAGCTCTTACTGTGAAGAAACCATTCTGTATTTGTGGAATAAATCTCTTTTCCTCCAGATGTAGAGAGCCTCCTTGTCCTCTTTGATGACCTTAAAGTTCACTACACCAAGTTCACTGTATGGATCACTTATGTATTTATACAGTTGCAAGAAAAAGTATGTGAACCCCTTGGGATTACGTGGAGTTTTGCATGAATTGGGCATAAAATGTGCTCTGAACGTCAACCAAGTCACAATAGAAGAACACAGTCTGCTGAACATAATACTACACAAACATTAGATGTTGCCATGGTTTAATTGCACATAACATGTAAACATTCACAGTGCAGGGAGGAAAAAATATGTGAACCTTTGGACTTAAAAACTGGTTGACCCTCCTTTGGCAGCAATAACCTCAACCAAACGTTTCCTGTAGTTGCAGATCAGAGCTGCACAACGATCTGGAGTAATTTTGGACCACTCCTCTTCACAAAACTGTTTCAGTGTAGCAATATTCTTCGGATGTCTGGTGTGAATCGCTCTCTTAAGGTCATGCCTAATAAGACTAATAAGAATGTCCTGTTACGGATTACTTGCTAAAGCATTCCCTAAGTTAGTTATGGCATGAAAATGGCTGTTTATTAGTTATCTGCTAAGTAGGGTTGGGCTTGATGTTTGACTTGAACATCGGCCGTTCATATGTTCCGCAAACACATGAACGGTAAGGGCATTCGGCGGTCTGTTCACCCGCTGCGCCCCACAATGCACTCTGACAGTGCAATGAGATTGGCCAAAGCAATGCACCTGACCAGAAGTCCATGATGATGTCACAAGGGGTGGGGACACTAGATGATGTCAACTTGGTGACCCCGCACCTTTGTGACGTCATCAAATTTAAGAACTGTAATGCCGATGCAGATGGCAGACGGCGGCCATTGTGATTGATGTTGGATCTACTTCGGGGGGCCATTTATTTTTCATTTTTATTTTTAACAAAGGACTTGTCAAAAACTGTCTTCTGTCATTTTTTATATTACACTTTTTTTTGTGAATGAGTAGCGGTACATGTACCCCATACTCATTCACATGGGGGGAGGGGGGGAAATGAGAAAACAGTGTGGCCAGACAGTGGGGAAAACAAATTGAATTCTATGTGCATCACTAGAGAGCTCACGAGCAGGAGAAAGGAGGTCCTGATTCTCCTATATGGATCTTTAGTTAGACCTCATTTAGAATACTGAGTCTAGTTCTGGAGACCTCACTTACAAAAAGATATTGGTAAAATAGAACAAGTAACTATTTTTCTGAAAGAGTAGTTGATGCTTGGAAAAAACTTCCAGCAGAGGTAGTGAGCCTGTCAACAGTAAATAGCTTCAAACATGCTTGAGATCTATACTCAGATGAAAAAGCTAACAAAAAAAAAAAAAACAAAAGAAAAAAAAAGCAAGATAAAAACCGGGCAGAGTCGATGGACTACTTGTTTTTTTCTGCCATCACTTTTCTCCGTTTCTAGCATGTACCTAGGTATGGTTCAGGAGGGGGCGCCCCCTTTCCTGACCTGCTGGGCTGCATGCTCGCATAACTGTCTAGTATGGATTTTGGGGGGGCCCCACGCCATTTAAAAAAAAATTTTGGCGTGAGGGCTCCCCTAAAAATGTAAACCAGACCTGAAGGGCTTTGTATGGATGGGGGTGGGGACCCCACATAGTTTTTGAAAAAAAAATGTAATTGCCGGGCAATGCCAGCGATTCTTTATATATTCGGCTGTCAGCAGGGAGCCTCGCTGACAGTTCAAACATTAAAGAATGTGTTCACTACTAAAATACTTGCACAACTTAATAATATAACTCATGCGGTATTTTAGTAGCTATGCAGTATCTTACCGCATACTCAGATGCAGTAAAACACCTCTTAGTGAATTGTCCCTGTTGGAAGTTCACAGTTGAACTTTTGTTATGTTCGAATATTCGACCAGGAACCGAACAGGGGGGTGTTCGCCCCATCACTACTGCTAAGTAATGGTATAGCAGAATGGTTAATAGCTATTCCTGAGTTGAGATAGCAGGTCCTTTGAACTGCCAGACCTATGTAGAAATGTGATTCAAGTTAAAGGCTATGGAGATGCCCTCCTGGGATTATGTAAAGCGGGTAACTGCTGTTATGCCTCCTATTGTTACAATTGTCATGGCTGAATTCTTAACAATGTAGCAGCCTTGCCCTTTCACACAGCTTTGTGAAGTGCCCAGTCTGTATTATCATCACACCCACCTTTTTTTCCCTTCATTTGAACAAATATGGATACAAACATAACTCAATCTTAAGGTTGCCCCTTAAAAAATCAAACATCCTAATTACATCATACCATATCTTTACTTTTTCATAAGCAGACTACAGACTTTTTACACCAGTGTTTAATGGACTACAGAATTACTCAAAAGGTCAGTTTTTTTTTTCTTATTACCTAAAGACTTTTGTACAATATTGTTTATATAACAAAAAAAAACCCATAGGCATATAACTAGATTGTAAGCTCGAAAAAGCAGGGTCCTCGAACCCCTCGTGTATTGTATTGTTACTGTCTTGTTTCATGTTCTGTCCCCCTTGCTACTGTACAGTGCTGAGCAAACCCTTTGGCGCTATATAAATACTGTATAATAATAATAATAATATAACAGAGGTCAATTAAAAAACAAGTAGCCTTCTTTATTTAGGCAACGCAAAAAAAAAAAAAAAGCAACGATGTGCTGCAAAATGCAATAACTAAATTACAGCCTACTGCAAGAAAGTCACTGAAATATTGACTGCTATAGGCTGCATTATTAAATACGCCTAAAACGTCAGTAGAAAGTATCTCTGTACTGAAGAACAAGATAAAATGCAATAGGTGATTTTTTTGGCTAACAAAAGAAATAGCAGACACACTGTGGTTTCTGCACATAGGTGGGACATTTAATTTAAACTAGGAATGTGTGACTGTTCCTAAAATGATTAATATGGAATCTCTCTCTCTGTATTTAAGCCTCATGTACCTAACCATTTATATCTGTTTATTGCCTACTGCTGTCTTGCTATAGTACTTTGCATGTTGTTAATGCACGGTGTGATAAGGGCAATGGGGTTCAGTTGCTCCAGAGCTTAGTAAATTAGGTGAAGCTTCATTATGCAAAGAATCACATGCAAGGAAAAAAAAACTGCATTTTTGCTTGCACACCATTGAATGATGGAAGTCAGCAGGGTTCCCTTCATTTACTAAGCTCTGGGGGAAATATACTTGCAAAGTACACAGTCTTTTTGCCTTTAGTAAAGCCACCTTTATATTGTTGCCATGTGGTTAAAGACTTTTATTATGGTGCATGCAAGGAAATAATGCAGAAGGTCTGTTAGAAGGTTAAACTCTTTTCTTGTAATGTATGTTGCTATGCACATGGCATCAACTATGCAACCCATAATGGGCTAGATTCCAGACAGCTACCTTGTTAAAATACAGGGCAATTTCCAAATGTGGACATTAATTTACTACATAAAAGAAGGATACATGGTGGGGCCTATGACGGCATCGTGTCAATCTAGAGGTGCCACTGGATTGCTGGAAAAAGGTGATACTGGGGTTTAGCCTTAAGGGGACATTGTACCCAGATATTGAGGTAAGTGTTTAAAGTGGTGAACTGCTGTCTGGGTACACCTATCTTGTGAGTGTACATATTTTAAGCTTTTCAATAAAGGGATTTTGTATTATAATGATAAAGCACTATGCATTTCGTTTTTTGAGCAGAGGAGCAAGTGGAGGCTGCATATTGATGGTGATTCACAAAGGAGCTAATGGAGAGATCTCCAGGAGGGAGAGAGTGGTGAAACCCTGGAATCAGAGCCCTTAACCACTTGCCTACCAGGCACTTATACCCCCTTCCTTACCAGGCCAATTTTCAGCTTTCAGCGCTGCCGCACTTTGATTGACAATTGCGCGGTCATGCAACATTGTACCCATATGAAATTTTGATCATTTTTTTCTCACAAATAGAGCTTTCTTTTGGTGGTATTTAATCGCCACTGGGCACTTTACTTTTTGCGCTATAAATTAAAAAATGTGCAAAAAATTGGAAAAAAAAAAAAAAGTTTATTTGTTTCTTTTATAAAATTTTTCAAACAGGTATTTTTTCTCCTTCACTGATTTACGTTGATGAGGCGGCACTGATGGGCACTGATAGGCGGCACTGATGGGCACTGATAGGCAGCACTAAAGGGCACTGATAGGCAGTACTAATGAGGCGGCACTGATAGACAGCACTAATTAGGGGTCACGGATAGGCGGCACTGATATGCAGCACTGATAGGCGGCACTGATAGGTGACACTGATGATGGGTACTGATAGACGGCACTGACTGGCATCACTTCTGGGCACTGACTGGCGGCACTGATTGGCACAACCCCTGGGCACTGACTGGTGGCACTGACTGGCAGCACTGCTGGGCTGCACTGGTGGGTGGCACTGGTGGGCAGCACTGGTGGGTGGGCACAGGTGGGTGGCACTGGTGGGCACAGGTGGGTGGCACTGGTGGGCACAGGTGGGTGGCACTGGTGGGCACAGGTGGGTGGGCACAGGTGGGTGGCACTGCTGGGCACATGTAGGTGGCACTTCTGGGCACAGGTAGGTGGTACAGGTGGGGGCACTGCTGGGCACAGGTGGGGGCACTGCTGGGAACGGGTGGGCGGGGCTAGTGGGCGCACTGCTGGGCGGAACTTGCGGGTGTCACTGCTGGGCACCGATCATCAGGGCACTGATCATCAGTGCCCTGATGATCGGTGCCGATCCCCGCTCTGACAACTGCCGGTTCTCGGCAGTACTTTCCTCACGATCTGACAGCGTGAGGAAAGTGCAGCCGAGAACCGGCACTTGCATTTCCCTGTGATCAGCGTGTCATTGGACACCGCTGATCACGTGGTAAAAGGCCGGTGGGATCGGCCTTTCACCACATCACGTGATCAGCTGTGTCCGTAGGACACAGCGTTCACGGAGATCGCCGGGTGCGCGCCCCCTGGGGCGTGCAGGAGAGCGTGTTCTGGGAGGACGTCATATGACGTCCACTCAGAACTGGCCGGCCGCGGTGAAGCCGTCATTCGGCTATGCCGGTCGGCAAGAGGTTAAACGGGAAGGCACATTTGACTTATTGCTCACACTAATAGGTCCACAAGTTCAGGTGAGAGCACATGATGCATGGTGGTGGAATTCACTTGTGCTGTTGGATCCATCAGTTTGGAGAAGGAACAAATGATGGATGCAACAATGAGATTGGTTGTATTGAGTATTTTTGTTGATTTATAGTAGTGTTATTTACTCATGACTTAATTTACTATTGGAGCACTCACAATAGCCAAGTTGGGGTAATAACTTTGAGGCCTGAATGTATTGCACAGCATTTTAAATTTTTTGTTTAGTTCATTTTGATGTGGGAAACACATTATAGCGTGAGCAGCAGCAACAACTTAACAGATGTCAAGTCTTTACTAGCAGGTGTGTGCGGAGAATAATTCCTTTTATTAACTCAGAGTTTGCTGGAGCTGCTGACATCACATCTAAGATGGCAGTGCCCAGCAGCAGTTTCAGGTCTTTTGAATGTCAACACAAAAGAGGTTTTACAGGTAAATAACATGCACATATGTTAAATGCGCATATAATCTCATGTTGAAATTGTTGTTAAATTAATAGTCTGAAAATAGCCTCCTTAAAGTGTAGGTGTGGCCAAAATAAAGAACTGTTCAGTAAATTTTACTAGTACATGTACGTACATTTCCATTGTTTTATCAAACAAATGCTTTACAAATGCTGCAAACACAGAAAAATACTTGTTTATCTTTCAGAAATCCATTGTGCTCCTAAACTTTGTTTGAGTTGACAGCAAAGTGCTTCTTCTGGACTAAATTTCCATGCAGTGTTGTCTGTCCTGCCCAGTTCTTCTCTCATGGACTGCAGAACTCCCCTTTCCTAATCTCCACAGAATAAGGTGGGGGGGACAGGTCTGACAACACTACTTGGGATTACAGTGCAGCAAACGCACAATCATTATCCCATGATACGAAGTTGGGAACACACATGGTTTCTGAAGTGATCAGCAGGTAATTTTCTGTACTTGTAGTGTTTTTAAAGTGACTCATATTCTCTGATTGCTTGTGCCTTGAGCTGTTAATAAACGTATGAATTTACAGATGTACAGGCAGGGTGCATCCCATTGTTTCTTGGACATTTATTTTGTGCAGTGCAATTAGGCAAGGTCTGGAAACCATGATCTACAACTGCTAATATAGAACGTATGCAGAAATTTTTTTTTTCCCCAATGCTTCACCGAAAATTTACATCATTAGGCCTGACCCTGTTTGTGAGTATGTAACTGCCTAGACATTTTGTGTGTGTCTGCCCAAATATGTATGCATGCTCTTATAATGTGTTCCTGTGTTTGTCCTGACATTGTATGGATGTCTTTGCTTTGACATTGTGTATGTAGTTGTGTTCTGTAAGCAGGGCTGTTCTTTGCTTTATTTCCAGTGTGCAATCAATTCAGAGTCTGTGTAGAAAGGAAAAGGGATGCCAACAAAGAGGTAGAAAAGCAGCAACACAGATGGAGAAAATAACTGACATGGAGGAGGGAAGGGGGGTGCAGTGCAACACTGAGGAGGAAAACAAAGTGATGCATCAGGCATGATAATGGGCTGAACATGAAAGTGAAACTGAATGTGAATAGGAAGCACCTAGTACAGATGAAAGGCAACAGCAGGTGTCCCTCTAAAAAAACAGCTCAGAGGATGCAGTGCATGTAGAAGCAGTGTACTTGTGGGGTGTGGGTGTTTAGTACCCCTTTACCCCTGGTTGAGGAGGACCCTGAGATAGCTCATTGGACTAGCATTTCATCTCTCAGAATTCTTTACATTTTTTAGCATGAAAGAAAATTGTGTGCAGTCAATTAAGAAAGTTTAAAGGACTTTTTTTTTTTTTTTAGCTCAATAAACTCCTGGAAAGATAATTAGGGCACAGGATACCACAAACAGGCAAAAATACAGCTCCAGTCCATTCTTCTGCTAAAGTAGGTAGCTGGCCCTTTAAGGACCAACAAGCAAAACCCAGGCCATATGCAATCAGTCAACTTAGTGCATGAGCAGTGACAACTCCTTGCAATGTTCACCAGCAGAAGCTTCTACCCAGCTCCCTAGGACAATGCTCAGCACAGAAGCCTCCTAAGATGCTCCATACAGGCAGCCATCTTCCTGCCCTGATATCTCTTGATTTTCCTTCCAGCAGGACAGCAAAAAGGACTCCAGACACAAGCCAACCTCTGTTTCCTTAGATCCAGGCCCTTCCTTCAGCAATACCCTTCTCAGGCAGCAGGCAGGCAGAAGGCAAAGAAGTCAAGAATTATTATCTCTCTGGCAAAGCCTGGAAGGGAAGACCCTTCTGGAAGGTCTCCCCAAACATTTATTTCCTTGCCCAGCATGCATCACAAGCAGTAAATCTCCTAGTGATTGGCCAGAGAAAAAAAAAATATATTAATAACTCATGACCTTGTTTCTTCTTGTCCTATCTACTGCAGAACACACCCAAGTAACACGAAGAAGAAAAAAAAAAAGTCTGAATTTAGGAGAATCCCAATGAACACAGGAAACAATAACAAACTGAGCTTAGGCTGACCACTGCCTAGCTTTGGCAAGGCTGACATGACTCAGGAACAGCCAGGGAAGGAGTAAGTTGGGACTCAACAGGCTCAGGGCCACACAACTAGACAGAAGCAAAAGGGGCTTCCCTGTTGTCCTCCCTCTGACAGCCTCCATCCTTTCTAGGGTATCTTCCTCCCCTAAATCTAGGGATACTTAAAGCCAGACTTTTCCACTGGCATATTTGCCACTAACGTTTTCTTTTACAATGCAGGATGTTTATTAAAGAAAGGGAGTACAATAACAATGCAATTGAGCAAGCATATACAGTTTGACATCGTAAGCATAATACAATATCGATTACAATAGCTTACAAGTTACATATCATCTAAGATAAAACAAAGAAAGCAGATAAATAGCCACAATATGCAAAGTGAGCAGTACTGTATCATGCACAATTTCAGAGTGAGACCCAGGATATGAAGAACATATTCCACTAACAGGACCTTTGTTTACTAAAAGCACAGAAACCCCCATTTGCTAACCATTCCCTTGCAAAGGTTATTCAGTAGACAGGACAACTCTGGTTCCAGCTCTTAAGGACAGCCTTGGTAATCCTAAGCGTATCCTGACCAGTTAGTGGAAGGTACTTTCAGCAGAGGTAGTAACAACTAAGAAACACTGCCTTCTCAACTGTGCTACCCATCACCCAATCCACCTGCAGCACACTTAGTAGTAGGTTTGGTTGCAATACTGCTAGCAGGAAATCTCAACAAAAAATGCACCAACTCCAAGTCCTTTTTGTAGCCAACACTACTATGCACGTCCCAAAAGTGAACTCTTCAACTTCATACCTGCCCATAGTACACAGGGCCAGGCTTTCATGGGGTTGCAGTTTCAGGCTTGTTTTTGAGGTCCAGTCTCCTGACATGGCCAAACCAATGGGAATGCTGGTTGCATACAGTTTGATCTCAAAACATTCGCTGAAAATGCACATTTGATTCAAAACATTCGTTCTTGACCAGGATTTGATTCTGGTGACACATATATAAAAAAGCCAGCTGGGGGAAATGCTGAACCTTGACTGTTTCACACAGTAAAGATCCTCTGGCCCATGCTACACATCATGAAAATGTTAAGGTACTGTTAACTGTGATTGTGATTTTAGTGCTGTGCTTGACAAGAAAAGGCAAATTCTTGTATAGATTTCAGCTTTGGATATGTTGTGGTTTCAACTGACTGTCAAACAGTACTTACATTCTCAAAATGGTATATTTTGATGCCCGTGTTGCAATAGGGCAAACTCTTGGCTAGCTGAAAAGCACCAAATTACATCAAGACTCCTCTGTTGTCTAGCTCTAAGCTAGTCTTTCTCAAACGTTTCAACACAAAGGAAACCTTGAAATAACTTTCTGGTCTCAGGTAACCCCTGCTAAAAAATACTATAACTACAACTCAAGATGGATTAGTGCAATGGTTAGTGGAACGATTTCTCCTTACATCATCATTTGGAAGAACTATCCCCTTACAGAGAGCTAAAGATCAATGGTGTCAATGGGAACCTATCTGTGAGGCAGAAATTGCTCATTGTTCAAGGAACCCCAAGCAACCACTGGAGAAACTCTAGGGTTCCACGGAACCCTGGCTGAAAAACCCTTTACAGCAATTTCACATAGTAACAATGAAGCATTAACTAAATTGTATGTCTAGCCAAAATAAAAAATATATATGTTGTACTTTTTTCAACACATGCACTTTTTGCCATGTTTTGTCTCTTTAAAAATGTTGCAACTACAGAAAAATACCAGTTAATCCTACCAAAACGTCCAGTACGCTTCCAACATCCTTAAAGTGTTACTAAACCCATGACTCATGGAAATGCAATCATTTTAGTAAATATAAACTGCAAAATACCTTTTCTCATCAGCAGGATATAGCAGTCTTGTGACTTCTATCAGTGCCCGGCCGAGCACTGAATTAAAGTGTTACTAAATCCATGACAATGCATTCACTATATCTGGTCTCCCACAGTACACAGAATATGGAAATGCAATTATTTTTAGTAAATATAAACTGCTAAATACCTCTTCTCATCAGCAGTTAGAGAAGTCATGTGACTTCTATCAGTGTCCAGGTGAGCACTGGTTAATCTTGTAGGAGGAGTTTTCATTCTCTGTCTGTCCTATGAGGCTGCATAACCTCTCACCCTCTGTCCAGACAGCACTGATTGGCCCTGTGCTGATTACATGCATTCTCCTAAAGAAAAAAAAAAAACTCTCTAGCAATACACACCAAATTGAGTATGTGCAGAGTGCCTCATAGGGCTCTGTACTATCAGCATATGGACTGGGGACTGTGGAAGAAGGGGAGGATCAGAGAAGACAGGATCAAACATCCATTTTATACAATGCAGAGGACTAACTCCTTAGGTTCCATGGTGAGTATAACAAGCATGCTTTACTGCATATACAGACTGATTTTACTGTTGTGGGTTTAGTGACCCTGTGAGTGAGCTGCCTCTGCTTCACTGAAATCCCAAACCTTGTTACCAGCATTGCCTGAGTCCTAGACTACAGATCTCCGCCCCCATATGTTACGATGATAAGATGTGCATGGTGTTCCATAGTCCAGCAGGGGAGAGCTCAGGCAGTACTGGCAGCACTGCTTGGGATTTCAATTAATCAAAGGCAGTGTTGTCAGCTCTCAACCGGAAGCTAAGAGCTTAAAGTCTTACTAAAACCAGTACCCTGCATTCACTATGTCTGATCTTCCGCAGTACACAGAACATGGAAATGCAATTCTTTCAGTAAATATAAACTGCTAAATACCTTGTCTCAACAGCAGTATATAGCAGTCTTGTGACTTCTATCAGTGTCCGGCTGAGCACTGGTTAATCTCGTAGGAGTTTTCATTCTCCTCTGACTACTATGAGGCTACATGACCCCCGACCCTTGGTCTGGACAGCGCTGATTGGCCCCATGCTGATCACATGCACCCTTCTCCCCCAAAAAAACACTCTCTAGCAATACACACTAAACAGAGCATGTCCAGACTTACCACTGCTGCTCTGTACTATGAGAGATGGATGGGGGACAGTGAAAAAAGGGGAGGATCAGAGAAGACAGGATCAACCATCCTTTTTACACAATGCAGAGGATTAACCCCTTAGGTTCCACAGTGAGTATAACAAGCATGCTTTACTGCATATACAGACTGATTTTACTGTTGTGGGTTTAGTAACACTTTAATGGATGTCTGGTAAAATCAACAAATTATATTTTATACATTGTTTTAAAAAAGGTAAACATGGGGAAATTAGCATTGCAGAGATGTACTGATTTTTTTTTGCCCAGGCATACACTTTGATTCTAGATATTGGAAGCAACAAGTTTTCAACTGCAGAGTTCCAGATTAATTTGTTACTGGATATAAATTATACTTCTCATCTATGATGCTACAGTATATCCTTATTGCTAAGAGACAATGCAGGTACCATAGCAGAAGGTGTCTTAACAGGCATGTAAATGATGCTTAGCCTATGTGCCTAGCCTTTTACCAGTTTGCTATACAGTTTAACCCCATCATTATTAAAACAGGCATGCACAATAAATATTACTACTCTGCAAGAGAGGTGAAAAAACACATTAACATGATAAAAGCATTATTTTGCAGTTTTAAGGTAATGTGGAGATAATCAATCACAAAATTAGCAAAAGGACAACAGCGGAATTAGTGAACTTAAACGTTGTTCCCAGTTTATTGGGAACAATAAAACCATAGTTTGAACAGTTGCCATGGGCACTCTACTGTACCATTCCGCACTTTATCATAAATTAACAATCCTGTGTTAAATGTAATCTTTTCATTTTTCACACATTATCGTACAGCTAAACAATAATCTTCATTTTTTATAGCAACACAATGTCTCCAGTCTTCATTACTGTTAAGCATATGAAATCTTAAGTAACTGACGATCACAGTATGTCTTCAAGAAATATGCAAAGTCAAAATTCACCATGGGCTTTGGCAACTGAGATTTATTACTTGTAATACCTATTAGTGGTCTAGATGAAATGGAAATTAGCATATAAAAATGTATTACACCTCATTAAATTCAAAGTCTGAAATCATGTCTGTAGTGGTCACACACGGCAGGACACCGTTTTTCAAGCTGAGCAATGATTTTTTTTTTTTTCTGTTGATAGGGTATTAATGTGTATTTTGATCTCATGCTGAAATAGATCTGAATGGATTAAAACAGAAGTAGATCTTTGCAGTGTCACTCTCCTTTGCTCCTTGTGCTGCAGACTACAGGTGTTTAACCAATGGTGCATGAACCCAAAGAAGGCATTCTGATGGGCCCAAGGAGTACTTGCGTTTGTGTAAGCACATTAATCTGAGCAGTTTATAGAGTTCAAGCAAATAACTCATTTATAGTACAGATCTGAATAAATACTTTTATTTCCAAAGAGAGAATTGGTTGAAAAGCATTTATATGTTAAGAAATGTACATGTGATATTGAGGATACTTGTAAAATATGACTAAAACTAGGGAAATATCCCAAAACATTGTTTTTTGTAAAGAGATACATAAATACATTTGAGAACCACTGCCACAGATATTGAGCACTTTGGAATTACCGTCTTGGGTAGCAGAGGACCTTGTTCTAGCATTGCCTACCATAACGTAACCCAGTAAACAGCATCCATTCATAGGCCTAAGGGTGCAACATGTCTGAACTATTTAACTAAACAAATGCAACAGTTCTGCTTTCACTAAAGTCTGATACATAATTACTACACAAGCCATTTAGTGCTTTAACCTAATTTTGCATTTCCTTTTCAATCAGCAGCCAGTCATGAATTTCTGCAACTGAAAGAAAATGTAAAGAACAGCCCAGAAAATATTTCACAGATATTTCCTCAATTACAGCATGTTTACATTAGTGGTGCCATCTGAACATTATTGGCAGTGGATCGCTTTTCAGAGGGCATTTGACAGGCCACGGTGAGGAGGTGTTAGGTTGCCTTCTTGCTTCCTGCTTTAACCTGCACCACTGTGCTGTAACTGTGTGCAATGCATGTGGTTGCAGTTCAGCCCTAGTCAAATGAATAGGTCACGTTTGGCTGGCAGGAATGCCTGCTGAACACAACTGGGGGGATAATTTTTGCTGTGCAACGATGCAAAGCATTTAAGGTATACTGATTGTTAATATAGACCCTCTAACTACATATTTTAGGAGACTGTATTCAGTTTGCACCATCATATAAATCCTGTATTATGATAATAATAACAACATGTATGGCAGGCTTTATCAATAGGTCAAGAGTCTAGGACAGGTCACAGGTTAGGGACTTATCTTCTTCATTAACTCAAACTTGTTTTCAAAACTAAACCCCATCCAAAAACAAATGCCTGAGGCTATTGGCTCCAACAATCAATTTTCTCCCTCAACTGATTGCTTCACAGCTTATCCCAGTAATTGTTTTGTTTACTACAATATAAGGACCAATCGTGATGACAGCACTCTCCCAACTAAGCATTTAAGAAGAAGGATGTTATTTGAATGGCCAGTCTTCATCTACAAAAGCTGAGCCCTCAACACGTTTATACTCTGCATTTTGCCATTCCTGAGCGGCCAATCGCTAGGCCCGAACATTGTCACCTGATGGCAATAGTGACATCATCAACCCTGTGTAAGCTCTGACTTAATCCTACATGGAGCTTACAAGGGGTTATGACTGTAAAATAATGTGACAAGGTGAGTAAAAGCAGGTCAGGGTTGATCTTTAATCGGTTCCCAACCGCGGAATAGCTGAAGGACAGCTACAGTGTGGTTGTGTAATCCTGGGACGATGTCCATGACGTCACATGGCATCCCTGGTGATCGCTGTGTCCTACGGACACAACTGATCACAGGGTACGGGTAAACGGTCAATCACGGCGGCCTTTTACCACGTGGTCAGCTGTATCTAATGACACAGCAGTCACCAGGTAAATGCAGTTGCCGGTTATCGGCTGCACAGCGTGAGGAAAGTATTGCCAAGAACCGGCAATTGTCAGCGAAGGGATCGGCACTGATCATAAGGGCACTGATGATCAGTGCCCTGATGATCAATGCCCAGCAGTGCCACCCACCTGTGCCCAGCAGTGCCGCCCACCTGTACCCATCAGTGCCACCCACCTGTGCCCATCAGTGCCATCCACCTGGTCCTCTCAGCAGTGCCACCCACCTGTGCCCAGCAGTGCCACCCACCTGTGCCCAGCAGTGCCACCCATCAGTGATGCCCAGCAGTGCCACCTATCAGTGCCACCTATCAATGCCGCCCGTCAGTGACACCTCATCAGTGCCCATCATTGCTGCCTATCCGTGCCCATCAGTGCTGCCTATCTATGCCCATCAGTGCTGGCTATCCATGCCCATCAGTGCTGCCTATCCGTGCCCATCAGTGCTGCCTATCAGTGCTGCCTATCCGTGCAGCCTCATCAGCACACATCAGTGCTGGAGAAAATAGTTTTTGCTCTTTTTTTGTTTATAGCGCAAAAAATAAAACACCCAGCTGAGATTAAATACCACCAAAAGAAAGCTCTATATTTGTGAAAACAAATTATAAAAATGTCATATGGGTACAGTGTTGCATGACCGTGCAATTGCCATTCAAAGTGCGACAGTACTGAAAGCTGAAAATTGACCTGGGCACGAAGGGGGTATAAGTGCCCAGTAGGCAAGTAGTTAAAGTTACTCTATGACTGCCATAAATGGGCAGGGCAACCAAGTCAACCTGAAATGAATCTATGCTTTGTCTTGATGCAATCAAATTGTACCAGTTGCTTTTCCAAAAATGGACATGGCTTTTACTTACTTTATTGCTCCTGGAGGCCTTATATTCATGGGGAGCAAAGAAAATAAGCCCTGTGTAAGCTCTGGGTATTCTTAAAAGAGCCAAATGTAAGCAGCTGGCAGAGCTGTCAATAAAGCCAAACCAGTTACTTTACCTGCATGGGCACTTTAAATAACTAAAAACACATTTCGTCTTAAAGACACAACTTCCTAGGTGTAGGTAAAAGTCTTAGCAAGGTTAAAAAAAATTGTGTGCATATATATATATATATATATATATATATATATATATACACACACATGCACAGTATATACATAATATACACACACATTGTTTTGTTTTTTTTCTTAACAAGATCAGCTGTCATCATTTTATACATGGGTAGCTGCATAAATATATCCACAGGCATAGGAATTTTGTCAAGCACAATCCTCACAAATATTGTACAAGGCATACCCTTAATATATTACGAAATACCTTCAAGGCAACGTCTTGTACCTGAAAACAGTCAAGTTTCATTGACACGGTAAGACTAACAGGTTAAGTCCCAGATGAAAAAGTGCAGCGAGGACATGTGCTGTGCAAAATAAGTGCCAGTAATGATTGCCTTTGGACAGAACAACTATTTGCCTCATGGCTGCTCAGTTCCTGACAAGTCAATGAGAGATAAATCCAGTTACATTATTTTGGAACCCTTATTCAGTATTTCGAATAAGGACAAATGATCAAATTATGAAATGTGGCCAGTAACTTTATATTCAGTGATTAAATATTAGTGCTTATATAAGCATTTAATCAGGGAGCAAATCACGAAATTCTAGTACTTTTTTTTATCCTTTTACATTTTCATCAGGTAAAAAGAGGACTGATTTTTTTTTTCTATCTTGGAGGCATATGCACAATTAAATATTAATATCATCATGATGTTCTTTTTTAAGGTTAACATTGGTTAGCATTGCCACAGGCTCTGTCAATGTAAATGCAGTAGTCGTGTCACTGAAAAGATGTCAAATGCAAATGGATAACCCTGAAACATTCCACTAATGTATTGAGGCAGAATTCCACTTGGCAATCAAGGGGAGAGTGACAGGAAGAGATTGTGTGTGTGTGTTATACATACATACACATATACAATCTGTTAGAAGCAGGTGTGTAGTGTAACAACACTAAAGGATTACACACATAATAACCAGGTATTCCCCCTTCTTCTTTTGAAACTTTTTTTTTGGGAGAGCAGGTACCAAATTTTTTCAGGTACCCACTCCCACTAGAATTAGCTAGGCGATGCCACTGGAAGTTCTACCCCTCCAGCAACATGTCAGAGGTCCCAGTAGGCTGCAGGACCATTCACACATCGTAGTACGGCTTGCACATGTGCTGTGGACAGTCGTATGTGAAGCTGCAAGGGTCACAGCTGGCTTTCCACAGTAAACACCGAAGACTTCTCACAGAAGAATGGTAAAGAACCAACTCAGGTGAGGATGGATCTGGATCCCTGGACAGGTAAGTGTCGTGCTATTAAAAAAGTCAGCAGCTACAGTGTTTGTAGCTGATGACTTAATTTTTTTAAACCTGACCGAAGAACCGCTTTACACTGTTACTAAACCCACAACAGTAAAATCAGTCTGTATATGCAGTAAAGCATGCTTGATTTATTCACTGTGGAAACTAAGGGGTTAATCCTCCGCATTGTGTAAAAAGGATGTTTGAGCCTGTCTTCTCTGATCCTCCCCTTCTACTTCCCCCAATCCATCTGCTGATAGTACAGAGCTCTAGAAGCTACTCTGCACATGCTCAGTTTGGTGTGTATGGCTGGAGAGGGTTTTTTTTTTCCTTTAACTTTACTTTGGGTTGGTGCATGTGATAAGCACAGGGCCAATCAGCACTGTCCAGACAGAGAGTCAGGGGTTATGCAGCCTCATAGGACAGTCAGAGCAGAATGAAAACTCCTCCTACAAGATTAACCAGTGCTCAGCTGGACACTGATAGAAGGCACATGACTTCTCTAACTGATGATGAGAAGAGGTATTTAGCAGTTTATATTTACTAAAATAATTGCATTTCCATATTCTGTGTACTTTGGGAGACCAGATATAGTGAATGCATTGTCATATGTTTAGTAACACTTTAATTCAGTCTGAAGAGGATACAAAGTAACAGCAACAGTTTTGAACATATTATGCTCTTTGTCAAGCTAGTTACACATTAATTTAACAATACATGTAATTGGAACATGTAGGTAATGATATTATATAATTGTCAAAACACCTGTGAAATCAGATAACTCCACCTTAAATAGAAAGTATATTGCAATGGTGCATGGACAGATCAGCATGGCTTTTTATACAAACTAAAAAAAAACCTAAAAAATAAAGAATAATAATGAAATTATGAATAAAGCATAGTCATGATCTAATTCTTTCTATGAACATGCACTCAGGGCAAGTACCCTACTCGACTACTGCAACTCCCTCCTTGTTGGATTACCTGTAGATAGGCTATTTCTTCTTCAGTCCATCATGAATGCTGCTTCCAGACTTATCCAGCTAACCTACCGTCCGGTGTCTGCTACCCCAACAAATTAAATTCAAAATACTAACAACAACATACGAAGCCATCCACAACTCTGCCCCCAGCTACATCACTAACCTGGTCTCAAAATACCAACCACATCGTTCTCTTTGTTCCTGCCAAGATCTCCTACTCTCTAGCTCCCTTGTCACCTCCTCCCATGCTCATCTCCAGGACGTCTCCTGAGCATCAACCATCCTATGGAACTCTTTACCCCCAATCTGTCCGACTATTAAAGAAGCCTATCCTGCTTCCAACTTATACACTGTGTATTTATATTATCCATCAGCTCATCCACCACAGTTATTAATTTTTGTATCACTCAGCCCTTCCTCCTAGATTGTAAGCTCTAATGAGCAGGGCTCTCTGATTCCTCTTGTACCAAATTGTATTGTAACTGTAATGTCTGTCTTCATATTTTTAAAGTGTTGCACAAACTTTATAGTAATAAAAAGCACCCAAAACAAACAGGAGTTATTCTGGATACATAATCTGGGTACTTGTACACAGAAAGTTGATGAGTCATGAATCATGAGTATGATTTATTTCTGTTTATTTGAATTAGTCTCCTTTTGCATTACCTGTTGTGTGTTTGGACAATATAGTAATGCATCAGTGTATCTTTCTCTTTAAGATGGACTTTTTTACTTGAACAGTGCCTTATGTTGTCCCTAGTATATTATTATTGTTGTATTATGTGGTTTAAAGCTTTGGATTTGGGAAAAATGTTGGACAATACTTGATTGCTATGAAACCTTTGTCTATTATTTATGTTTTGATATTGGTGTTCTTCGGATTTACATATTCTCATGTTGTCCGTCTTTATTTTACATTTCCAAAGGTCACATATTTACCTCTATGCTGACTAAAGTGCACTGATTCTGGCTATGTATAACCATGCACTGTTCTAAATAAAAAAATGGAGTTACCCAAGTTCACAAGTGGTGATTAAAAGATGTCATGGCCTACTTGTTCCTGTCATGTATATGGCTAGATTCAATAGGAAGGAATGAAGTTGAAAATCAATGCCTCTACTGGCTGGATCAACAGAAAACAAAGCATTTTTGTTGGCCATAGTTCCACTTTAAGAAGGAAAAAGGACAAGCAGGGGGCTGAGCCTCGAATTTGCCAATAAAATATAAAACTATATAAAAATATAATAAAAAAAACTAAAATGAAAGCAAAACAAAATAGATTTTTTATTAAAAAGCAAATGACTAAACATAATCAATGACTGATGTACATTCCAATAAAAGGACAGCTAATGTGTATCTGTATGTGTCTACAAATGCAAATTTATATTGACTATCAAGACTGCTTACAAAACCGTACAACTGGTTCAGACCTACTCACTGATGACATGTGAAGATGAGAGCTGCCACATACAGGAGAAAAAAATAGGATTTTTTTTGTCTTCCCTATAAAATAAGTTTCCTGAAGTACATTACAGGGCACAGAATTAAGTATTTTGGAATCATGGGTTATGCAGTTAATGTCAGGAGCTCAGACAGTGGCATACAAAGCTAGGACAGCCCTATATCCCACCTCCCACTTTCAGCAAACCTAATTTTTGTAGCACACAATAATAGGAGTAAATCATAAGACAGAAGGGATGGACCTGCATTCTGCAATGTACTCCAAGAAAAGGATTTTACAGACAAGACAAATATCTTATTTTCTCAATTTTATATTAAAATACACAGGATGAAAGATATTCTGTAACCATGGGACATCCAAAAGCAGCTGAG